CATACAAGTAGCAGTTTACTCCCAACAGTCCCACAAACTTTTGTCCTCTGAAACAGTACTTGTGAAAAAACAGCTTCATAATCCTTACGATTTCAAAATTCGTCAAGCTATTAACACGGTAAAGAACCTTGGCTACATATTGAGACTAATTACTACCGCTGGATTCCTTCTGGTGCACAGTTACAGTCCCACAAAACCAGGTACCTTTTCTTTCAAATTTGCGACATTTTAACTACAGGATAGAACAGTCACGTGATCGAGTTTCCTATCCTGTTCCTGGTACATATCTATGATAAAGTTTAATTGGTTAAACCACGCCCACCATCACATGGCCTCTGATGAAATAAAGCTGAAGAGATTAGCTGAAAAATTGTGTCAGCATAGATATGGTGTCAGAAAGAAGCTTGTGCTATCCAGTACTGCCTGCAAGGTCAGCATACTTCATAATAAATCAATATTTCTTTATTAACAGGTAATAATTACCAGGAGGATAAGTGTACTAGGGAGAAACAGGCTCTCATTGATTGCTGTAATAAATTGAGTCAAAATATTCTGGAACATTCTACACACTGTGGCCTCTCTTCAATAAAAAAGAAATAAAATACTAATAAAAGGATAATAATGGACAATAGTAACAGACAGAATAATAGCTTAATGGTAAATGGAAATGTATTGAATGTACATTGAGTATTGATGTACATGTTTTGTCATGCTCCTTACCTCAAGCATTACCGTATAGCATTACTTACTATTACTGTATAGTGGGAAATTTTGGATGGAATTAAATTTGGTGAATTTTGCATTTTGATAGCCATTTACCAAAATAAAACCCGCCATTTTGAGCCATGATATGCATGCTGAATGGCACGTGGCCACAAATTTGCCAAATTAAAATTTGCCAATCACCAAAATTTAGCAATTTGTCAAATTTTACTCCCTCCAAAATTTCCCACTATACGCTAGATTTTAGTAATTTCCCTTTTTGTTGCTATTAATAACGATAGCTTAAACTATAGAAAGCTAATAATATAGAATTATTATTAATTTACTATTGTTATTATTAGTAAATTATTAGTAATCTCAAGATGGGCTTCAGTAAACCAGTCCCCAGTCCACAGGTTCATTGCTTATTGTGAAGTGTTTACATTTCCTATTATGCTATGGGAGATACTAGCGTGAGTGAACATGTACATGTACTTATTGTACTGTTGGTATAAGTCAAGGGAGATTGATCTTATGATGTCCTTATGCTGTGTAGGAAGTTTGAGCTGATTCCGAATTCAATTTTTAAAGTTACAGCTATTTTAAGAAAATGCCAAAATTTTGAAAAATACCCAAGGCTATAGCCCATGGTTTTTTCTGAAAAATGGCTCCGAAATCACCCCAATTTTTATTACATTTTCTGATACATATTGATGTCCTTATGCTGTGTAGCAAGTTTGAGCTGATTTTAACTTCAATTTTTCAAGTTACGGCCATTTCAAGGAAATGCCAAAATTTTGAAAAATACCCAAGGCTATAGCCCATGGTTTTTCTGAAAAATGACTCCAAAATCACCGCAAATTTTTATTACTGATACATATTGATGTACTTATGCTGTGTAGAAAGTTTGAGCTGATTCCAACTTCATTTTTTCAAATTACGGCCATTTTAAGAAAATACCAAAATTCTGAAAATACCCAAGGCTTGCTACAAGGATAATGCAGAGAAAAAGAAAGAAAATATGATCAGCGGATTAGAGAGGTGGAACATTCTACCCCTTTTCTCTCTAGTTTTTTTTGTTGTCCGGTGGCTGTGGACCAGTTGCTACACAGTTCATCAAACGACACTCTTTACTTCATGAAGAGAAATTCCAACGTCAATATAGCACTGCCATCAATTTTATACGGTGTCGATATTTGTTTTCCATCATTTGCTCTGCTATATGATGTCTTCGGGGGTCTCGATTCTATCGACTCATCTAACTTAATTAGAGCTGCATCTGAAGCTCATCTAAGTATTCCATGATTGGTGGTTCTTTAAAGAAATTGCCAATATAAAATCTGCCAATTTCTTTCCACAAAAGTTTTTTGAAGTTACTCAAAAATCAAGCCAAATTCCCTGTGCTATACAGGGTCATTGGCCGAATTTCACCAAAAATGAAAACAGAGAATTTTCTACTTTTATTATCTTTTCTGATACATATACTTGTACTCGTGTTGTGTAAAATTTTTGAGCTAATTCCGATCAAAATTGGTTTTTTACAATTTTTAAAAGTTGCTCAAAAATTGAATGAAAGACCCTGTATTATAATTAGTAATGTGGTAGTGTTACTAAGTACAATTCATCCCATTTCAAAATATATGAGTATTACTATATACTATTGCATTGTAGGAATACTCATGGGAGGATCATGGTTTCTCATTCCTTAACAGCCTCTATCCTTTATTGAGTGAATTGCTTGATGAAAAGTTTAAAGTGGCATCAGAAATGACATACAGACAGTAAATATATCACTCACTCCATTTACTATCTTGCAAACACATGCATATGCATTGGGCTTGATGTTATGATAATTTATGTTATAATTTTACTTTCTTCCTTCTCTTTCTAGTGTTGGTGCAACAAAAGACATAGACACCAAACCATTTCGAGAGGCAACCTGGTACTACATTCAGTCGATAAAAGGGATCAGACATGATGACTACAACTATGGCAAAGTTTGTTCCACTCTATTGTCTCCCTATTGCTATCTCAGCACAAGCATTATAATTATTATATCTACTATCTTAGGTCAACAAAGTACTTTCAATCAAATATAAGACATACATTAGAATGGTTAGCCTTTTTGCATAATCATGTCCATTATAGTATTTCATATTATCAATGTTAGGTTGCTTGTTTTCCAGAGAAAGTGAGCTTGTTTGATTTTCACAACTGTATGGATGGACTACAGTTCAGCGAAAAGGTACAGTATTGGACTGTTTCATTTCCATACTTGTACTGAGTACTGTGAACTCATTAAACTCATTATGCATAGTTCCATGGCACATACACTGTATTACCATTACTGTGTATTCTAGTATGCATTAAATTGATTGTTGACTGAATAGAAGAGTTGTTATTCTTTGTTCCCTATAGGTACATGTCAATGTTTTAGTGATGGAGGCAAGATTACAAGCAGAACTTATATACTCACTAAAAGCACTAATGAGTCACATGAAATAAATAATTATAATTATAATATTTAGTCAATTATACCAGAATTTTAGAAATTAGACTATTGGGAATTTGTAATTCTTTATGACAAGACACTTGTCTTCTCTCCCACTTGCTCCCACTATTAAATTATCTCCTTAACCTACTCTATCATGTCATGAGGTGGTTAACCTACTCTCATGTCATGAGGTGGTTTCCATGTGGTTTATCTACAACAGCATTGAAAGTTCAGCTATGGTTAGATGGTTCAACCCATCCTTGGTCCTTAATTCAATAATAGTTATTAAGAATTTTAAGATGCCAGAACCTGTTCAGAGACAGAATATTGCTAAGGATGATGATGAAGTCCTTAATGACCTGCCAATAGATGGGGAGAATGAACCAAATCCAATTATTGGATCACACTATGTCTTGGTGGCTGTGATATTTTTGGTGATAGCTCTTACAATTGCCCTTGCTATTGGTCGCCCTATGTACACAAGAGACAACCCTACAGAGCTTGATAGGTTAAGTAGTAAAATTGAGGAGTTGGAGAAAAAAATTGATCTTATTTTAAACAAAGAGAATATATCCCCACTATCTTGTAAAGACATGAAGACAGCACATCCCAATAGACCAACAGGCTACTATGACACAAATGGTCACACTATGTACTGTAAAATGGACCAGCTCTGTGGTTCAGGAGGAGGATGGACAAGAGTAGCATATCTGGATATGTCTGATGCTACACAGAACTGTCCCCCTGGGTTTACGTTGGATACTACTGGAGGTACCAGAGCTTGTGGAAAGCCTCCATCTACAAGTGGCAGTTGTGTGTCTGTTAAATTTCAATCTAATAATATTCAGTATTCAAAAGTTTGTGGCAAATTAGAGGGACACAAAAAGAGCACTCCTGATGCTTTTTTCAGATTTGACGATGAATATAGCAATGATATTGATACTTATTACATTGATGGTGTCAGTATTACACGTGGATCCCCTCGTCAACATGTCTGGTCGTTTGCTGCATCCTCGGCAACAACTTTGCATGGTGGAGGCATCTTCAATTGTCGCTGTGTTCAAGGGAGCACACAACAGCATCCAAAATTTGTTGGAGACAACTATTACTGTGAAAGTGGAGATGATGATCCACTCTGGGATGGTCAAGGCTGCTCCAAACTGGAAGTAGATTGTTGTTCATCACCATACTTACCATGGTTCTACAGGCAGTACAATGCTAGCACTACTGATTATATTGAGCTGAGACTATGCACTGACCAGTCTACTGGCGATGAAGAAGTTTTTGTTAGGCATTATGAGATTTATGTGATGTAGCTAGTGGAAATAAACTTTTTTTAGCCAATGCATGTTTTAAATTGGCTGTGGTGTACATAGCTAATCAAATAATATTATTTCAGTTTTGGAATTTATTAATCTTGAAAAAAAAATAATAATATGACAAGATCTTGAACTAATTACATGCATGCCATGTTACAGTTTCATTTAATAGATCTATAGATCTATAACTAACTATTGGAATGTAGCAAATTAAATTAAAAGAATATCATTAACCTCAGTCCAATTTTTACTTAGTGCACATGACACAAGTAACAGGTTTGTTATTCTGATATGGTGGACAAGGTAGACTGTGACAGGTTGAAGCAAAAAAATAGAAGAGAGCACCATCAATATTCGAGGCCACTGCCAGGAACAGACTCTGGATACCATCAACTCATGCATACTGAGCACTCCTTGCATGATCAAGATATTCAGCCATCAAGTATCCATTGTATTCAAAGCTCCATCCTGAAGGACAATACATCTTACCAGGGATCATCAGTTGTGCTCCTCTGAATGGTTGGTAGCAGACTGCACAGGGAACGCCATGATCATGATTATGAAATGAAAATATCTTATTGTACGATTGATACTCGGCACCATACATGTAAGAACAAGCCGTAACTATTGTAATGTGGGCTGTGAGGTAAGCACACATAGTTTGCTCCGCTGCCAGGATGACTGTAGTGTGTACCTCCTGCTAGTCCATCATAAATCTTTGAAGCTTTATCACAACTTGTCCTTCCCCAACGAGTGTACACTACTCCCCCACCACTCTGTGAATTAGCATTATTAGCAGCAACTTAATGTCAGTATCTTTAAGATAAAAAATAAATTAGTCAACAAAATGATTTGATCATATACCTTCAGATGTAATTTCAGAGACATTTATTGCCAACACAAGAGCACAAATCAGTTGCAGAAACTTCATGACCAGTCACCAGCTATAGGTTCCCTTATCTTCTGTTAGTGAGAGTGTAAGGAGCTAGGTGATGGTTTTATAATCTGTACTGAACATGTAACAGCCAGCACATCACAGGATTCTCAGATTCTGTGAATAATGACATACCATAATGACAATACCATAACTGAATTCACATCATGTGCATTCAAAAAACTATGAACAGCCAATGTAATGTTTCTATGGACAACAGAGATCAGATAGAGGCATATTGACAGTGGTTCTTCATAGTATCAATGGTCGCTAGTATGGCAGCACATGACTACATGCACAACTCTCAAAATTCTGTAAGTTTGCGTAAATTTTGATATCACAAGAACGCCAATTCATAATGCATGCATGCAAGATTTCATTTATTCAATTTAAATGATTAATGCTAATCAAGATATTTATAGTGTTGCAAAAAATTATGATAACAATGATGATAATAATAATAAGAAGAAGAATGATAACAATCAATTCCTTGTATAATATTCTTATTTGAATTACACATTATAATCTTCTATCTTTGTTACTCTAACTATCAAGCGGTCATCTTTCAGGTATTCTGTCCTGTGTTTTGCATTAAACATTAAAAACTCATGACGCAGCATATCATGGTATCCAAAGCCTTGATGAGAGTGTCCCGAACCAAAAAATCTAGTGAGGCCAGTTACTCTAGCACCAAACCTTTCTTCAGGATCAGTCTTATCAGTAAACTCAATCGTCTTCTCTATATGATTCCTGAGAGTAGATCTATCAAATTGATTAACAATCTGAACAATTATTTTTCCACGAAACGGAAATGTTAACTCATTGTCATAATCTCCCATAGATATGTGAGCAAAAATGGATACACTTCTTCCTTGGAAGTGACTCCTTCCATTAGGATAGACCATCAGTACAAACTTATATCCTTTAGCACTGTAAAATCCTTCACTGATGCACTCAGAATTTGATTTCTTGTGATGAGAGAATTTAGCAATTTCAAAGAGCATTTCTTCCTTAATTGGAGGTGGAGATGTAATAGCACTGGTTCGAACTAGTGGACACAAGATTAAAGTAATAAAAAAATTTTACATTACTTTACTGGAATAAATAAAGTAATAATAATGTTATGTGACCTTTATTACTACTACTAAAGCTAGAGCATCATGTTTTTGTCTATTGAATGCAATTAAAGCAGTTATATTGCAATTTGAAAGGGAAACCAGAGAGGTATTTGTCCCAATTGGATCAATCTGTTTCTAATAAGAATTTTATGTTACAGTAATATTTTATAACTATTATAAATACTGTTAATTCCCATGTCTAACCTAGTGATTCCACATTAACGGACTTGACACGGATAACTATGCTGTTGTCTTCTAAATATTCGGTAAATGGCTCTTGAACAAACGAAATTCCTTCTCCAACAATAGATGATGCGATTCCTGCTTCAGTTGGAACGCCATTCCAGACTCTACCACAAAACTTGTCATCATCAAAAATAATTTCAGCTAAATAACGAAAAGTTTTTGTTTTTCGATGAAGTATTTCTGTGATCAGGGTACCACGAAACGGCCACTGAAGATCATCATCGTGGTCTCCAGCCATTAAATGAGCGTGTAAATTTGAAGACTTTTTCTTATCATCGTATCGAATGCAGAGACACATTTTGTAGCCATTGGTGTGGGTGTAAAATGCCCGACTATACCAATCTTCATCTAACTTGTTGTATTTATCAAATGACATCATTATGACATCAACGGGAGGAGTGTATACATCATCATCCACAAAGTTTAGAGTAGGTATCCTACGATTGGCTATTAGTGATGTGTGTGTATGTGTAGGAATGGAAATAAAAGTTAGTTGTATAGTTTCAAAATTTAATTATAATATAGTTTTTATGTTTGTTAGCCAAATTTAATGCAAATTCTTCACATAATTTTATTCAAAAACCTCACAACTATATAGCATCATAAAAACCAACTTAAAATATTTGATAGCTATGAAAATTAAAAATAATATACCTTGAGTTTGATATGCCCTTTTCATCTCTATAAAATAAAGTGATAAATAATAATAAGGTTGATAATCCTAACTTTCATTCTCCATCAACTTTTCCCTGAGAGAAATCAATTCTTCACCATCAGCTAACATTAATAACAAAGGAACCTAATTAATTTTTTCAAAATCTTACTGTTCAATTTTTCTTTTAATTTTGATATTTCTTTAGTTTTATTATCAATTAAGAAGTCTTTATCTTCTTGAATGTCTTGCTTCATCTTATCTCCTTGAATGTCTTGCTTCATCTTATCTTCTTGAATGTCTTGCTTCATCTTATCTCCTTGAATGTCTTGCTTCATCTTATCTTCTTGAATGTCTTGCTTCATCTTATCTTCTTGAATGTCTTGCTTCATCTTATCTCCTTGGATGTCTTGCTTCATTTTTTCTTTTGTCATACCTAAAGGTATTTATTGCATTAATTTTTAAATCTTACCTTTTAATTCCAATAGCTCCTTCTTCACTTTAGCAATAAATCTGTCCTTATCTTGAATTTCTTGCTTCAATTTTTCTGTCATATCTAAAGGTGTTCATTACAATAGTCTCACACAGTAAATAAATAAATAATTATTATGCAATACCTTTTGGGTCTTCCACCTCTTTTGTAGCAATTTCTTTCTCTAGGATATGATTACAAGCAGTGAAGCTCAATCCAATCAGCTATATACTGACACTAATACCTTCAAGTACTTGACTTTCTTCAATTTGAGGGGTCTCTTCTAAAGGATAATCTTCCTTCTCTATTCATTATATATAGCAAAAATTAATGAATGAATTCATCTGTTATTGATTATTATTACTTTCTGATAAATCCTGAAATGAGGACAACCGCTCATTTATAAATTCTATTTTTTTCTCAAAAGCCCTAATCTCCTATTAAATAATGGAATTTAACAACATAATAAACTGATGAAGAGGTTTACTTTACTGTCTTCTTTGTTTTGTTCTTCCCTGTACATTAACTGTAAGCTTGCCGATATAAGCAACTGCTCCAACGTCCCTCTACTAGCATACACTGCAGAGATGTACTCATCTAAAATTATGATAAGACTATAAGTAACTATTATTTTAGTCTATACCAAAGGCCTCTCCTTCTTCAGGGTAACACAAACTCTACATGTGAACAGGTAAAATAATTGTAACTCCTATAGTTTATTCAACAAACAAAGCTATGACAATTACCTCATCTTTGTAGTCATAAACAGTGCAGTATCCAATGGTTAGTTTTAATAATCCATTATCTTTCAATACTTTTAGATTCTTGAGTGCTATTGATATGAGCCTTTCACTTAGTACAACAGGAAAAGAGCAGACAATGCTGAAAGAATTGCCTCTTCTTATGACAGACAACTTAACATGTGTAGATAATGTTTTTGTAGCAGCTTCTTGAATAAATTTATCAACGTCTTTAACTGTGCAATCACGTAAATTTTTATCGACAACAAATTTAATTTCTTCTAGTTGTAAAACAGGAGGTGGAGAAAAATGCTCATCAAGGCACAAATCAAGTGTCATTTTCTCAACAAATTTTTGATTCTCTTCTTTATACTTATCTATAATCAGTACAGCACCATCAATTTCAAAACGCTCCACTGTTGCCTCCAAAAGTTCAATATTTGTCAATGAGCACTGTTTACTTATCCAATTTAAGATATCTGCAACTGTTTCACATTTAGAAAGCTCTTTATCAGCGTCATACTCAAGATAATATTGAAGATACTTTTTTAATCTGTCAACGCTAACGGTGACAACATCACTGACTTTGTCAAAAGTAGCTGCAAAACGGGTTCGTCTTTTTTTGAAATCATTACTTATATCAGAGGAAACAGAAACAGACTTAGTTTTACTTGGAGTAGTAGCAAAATCATCTCCAAATACATCGCTTGCATCAGATGAAACAGAAACAGATTTAGCTCTGCTATCTTTATTAGTATTTAATGTATATAGTTATATAATAATAATAATAGCATACCTGTCTCTTCACTATTCACTGCATCATCATTGTCAAAAACTTTCACTACAAAATACAAAAGCAAAATTAAACAAATAGAAAGCAGAAATGGCACTTACTGTAGTCTTGCATAACAATTTCTCCAATATTTCTTGTAGTACTATCTTTCTCCAAGATTGCAGCAAGTATTTGAAGATTTTCATAACTTAAACAGATCCTTGTTTTCAAAGCACTGTATAGTTTAGAACTATTTGCAGATTCAGATGACTTTAGCTTCATTTCTTGTACTAGTAGCACATATATAATAGAGGACTTCTTAAAACAGGAATTTCTGATAAAATCCTCAGATATGTGATGAGTAAAGATGAAGCAAGCTGCATGTTCTGATATGTAATATCATAATGAGTAGACATAATACGGTAAGTAATATGTAATTACTTTCTTTGTCAATTCTATCAGCTAATGCATTATCTAGAATTCTCAACGCTTCCAATAGAGTATACCAAGTTGGATCACCTATCTCTGACACGTTATCAGCTTTCATCAACCATTTAGCTAAGCCTTCACGAAGACAAGCCTGAGGATCTCCTCTGCATTTCATCTCAAATTCTTTTATAGTGTTAAGTAACAAGCCCAGATAAAGACAAAAATCAAAATAATTTGAACTATCAAAATGGTGTTTTTTTAAAATTGCAAGCACATCTTTAAGATCCTTTATGCCTATACAATATGCATGACAGTTAACACAAATAACAGAAACTTACTTAATTTTTTTTTAGATTCATCAACCAAGTCAAAGTGTTCTCCAGCAGGTTGAACATTAGTCTCACAGGCTTGATCCATCTGGATGGGTCGGGCCTGCGAGACTAGATGAACATGACTTTCATAATCACAATCAGGCAATGAATAAAACTCATCAGAAGTTTCAGAACCAGACAAAGCTAAGAAATAATTAAAAATTCACACCCCACTTTTAAAAAATAACATGCTACTTCACTGTCACACCTCTTTAGCATATCAAAGGAATGTGGTCAAGCAACAATCACAAATCTACTTGAAAGTAGAATTTAGAATAGAAGCATGCAATGGCAAAATTCTTATTAGTCTAATTGGGAAACCATGTACACTTATCATTTACACTTACATCTAGGTGACAACCGACGAGGTGATCTTGATCCGGCATTCATTATGTATGTGGGGGGAGTGACACAATCGCACATGTACGTTATTCTATTTATAGACGGCTAGCCTAGGGGAAGTTTTAGGGATATCCCCTAATCCTCGTTTTTAAAAAACAATAGAGCTCTTTGTGTGTACTACTGTACTGGCCGAGAGAAGAAGATAGCAGGGAAACAAGACTAGATCTACAATACATAGACCTAGATCATCATCATCATCATGCCGACATTAGTTTGCACCAAATGCGGCAGCCAAGCTGAAGTCCAACAAAGGGGACAGGCGCCATTCTACTGTCGAAGCTGCAAGACATTGGCAAGACAGCAAGAAAAAATGCAAGATATGGCCTGTGAAGTACAAGTAGCAAGAAGCAACGATAAGATACACGCTATTTGCATCGAAGAAAATGCAGCAGGAATTTCGGCGCTGCAGAGGGAAGTGGCAGCTCTGAAACAGGAGCAGGAGTTATTGAAGGCCGAAAGGGTCAGACAGGAAAGTGAAGAGAGGCAACAGAGGCTTAAACTGGAAAGTGAAGAAAGACAACTAAAGCTCAAACTGGAAAGTGAGGAAAGACAACTGAAGCTCAAACTGGAAAGTGAAGCAAGGGAAAATGAAAGAATTAGAGAGAGTGAAATGCAAAAAATTAAGCTTCAAAATGAATTTGATCTGGAGAAGCTCAAAATTGAAGAACAAAAGGCAGTTGAGATAGCACAATTAAATACTGAAGCCAAAACTCAAGAAGCACTAACGGCTCAGGCAGAAGCTGCTAAAGCTAAAGCAGAAGCATCTGTCAACATAAAGAAAGAGATGAATAAAGCACTTGAGAAAGTAAGCAAGACAAAGAATCCACAGGCAGCAATTGCTGTGATCAAGCATTTCCGTGATGCTGCAGAAGATGATCAGAGTACCACGAGCACACTTAGCTCTGACGATATCATGAGTAGCTATGCAACAGAAAATGCCCCTGACGATCCATTGGCATTTGGTGTGAATGAAAATTGGACTAAACTGCACAGGAAAGTAAACACTGCTCCATGTGACAATGCTCACAAGGCATATTAAGTTGCCAACTTTTGTTGTAAACAGAATTTTTTTAACGCTGCTATTGTTTTTGTGGTAAATAAAATGTTGTTTTTTAAAATTAATTTGAATAAAATTAATGCTAATAATAGTAACAACAGGTACTGTCAGTCACTCATGCTCGCCCCAATTAGTGGTATGAGTATAAGCCAGCAGAGGGAGTGATAGAAAGTAATGATGTAAAGATACTATGGGATTTCATGGTAGGAAGCCCAACATAATTGTTATTAATAAAAAGAAGCATCACATGTGCCATAATTGACATAGCAACTAGCAAGGGATTCTAGAGTTAAAATGGAGAAAATTAGTAAATATCAGAACTTGAAGTATGAAATGGCAACTTTATGGAAAATGAAGAAGGGTTGAGGTTATACCAGTAATAGTTGGAGCATCAGGAGCTGTCATGTAATATCAAGAAATGGTTTAGGAGAATAGGCATATCTGTAAGGATTGAGCACATCCAGAAGACAGCATTGTTAGGAACTGCTAAAATCATAAGACAAACTCTGTATTCCACCTTGCTTACGAAAGTTGTGTCTTATTATCAAATAATAATAATAATAATAATAACAATAATAATAATCAATTCTTTGTAAAATATTTTTATTCGAATTACATGTTATAATCTTCTATTTTTGTTACTCTAACTATCAAGCTGTCATTCATTAGGTATTCTGTCCTGTGTTTTGCGTTAAACATTAAAAACTCATGACACAGCATATCATGGTATCCAAAGCCTTGATGAGAGTGTCCAGAACCAAAAAATCTAGTAAGGCCAGTTACTCTAGCACCAAACCTTTATTCAGGATCAGTCTTATTAGTAAACTCAATCGTCTTCTCTACATGATACCTGAGATTATCAAGTCGATTAACAATCTGAACAATTATCTTTCCACGAAATGGAAATGGTAATTCATTGTCATAATGTCCCATAGATATGTGAGCGAAAATGGATATACTCCTTCCTTGGAAGTGGCTCCTACCATTAGGATAGACCATCAGTACAAACTTATATCCCTTAGCACTGTAAAATTCTTTACTGATGAGCTCAGAATTTGATTTCTTGTGATGAGAGAACCCATTAATTTCAAAAAGCATTTCTTCCTTAATTGGAGGTGGAGATATAACAGCACTGGTTTGAACTAGTGGAAACAAATTAAAATAATAACACAATTATACATTAATTTACTGGAATAAATGATACTACTATCAACTAATTTCCATATCTAACCTAGTGATTTCACATTAACAGACCTGACACAGATAACCATGCCGTTGTTTCCTAAATATTCAATAAATGGTTCTTGAACAACTTCAGCAAAAGGAATTCCTTCTCCAACAATAGATGATGCCATTCCTGTTTCAGTTGGAACGCCATTCCAGACTCTACCACAAAACTTGTCATCATCAAAAACAATATCAGCTAAATAATGAAATGTTCTTGTTTTTCGATGCAGTATTTCTGTCATCAGGGTACCACGAAACGGCCACTGAAGATCATCGTCATAGTCTCCAACCATTAAATGAGCGTGTAAATTTGAAGACTTTTTTGTATCATCGTATTGAACGCAGAGACACATTTTGTAGCCCTTGGTGTGTGTGTAAAATGCCCGACTATACCTATCTTCATCTAATTTGTTGTATACATGTACATCAAATGGCATCATTATGATATCAACGGGAGGAGTGTACATTGTATCATCCAAAAAATTTAGAGTAGGTATCCAAATATTGACTATTTTTTATGCATGTATGAATAAAAAATAAAAATAAATTGATTATTTTTGTTGTAGTTTCAAAATTTTATTATTGATACCTTCTGTCTGATATCCCCTTATTATTGCTAAAAAATTAGGTTATAATAAAAAATAAAGTTGATAATTCTAACTTTGTTTCTCTGCCAACTTCTCTTTGAAAGATATCAGTTCCACACCATCAGCTATCATTGCGATAATAAAATAATTTTAAAATTACAATTAATTACCAGAAATTTTAGCATCTTTATTTTTGATTTCTTCAGTGTTATCTAAACGCAATAATCATAATTGCAACAACTTTTCAAAATCTTACCTTTTAATGCTTTTCTTAATTCTGATATTTCCTTCATTTTCTTAGCAATTAAGGAGTCCTTTTCTTGAATTTCTTGCTTCATTTTTTCTGTTATCATATCTAAAGGTGTTTAAGACTGAATGCTTTCAGGAAATGGTCTCACACAACAAAGTAAATACCAGTAGATTTATATTATGCACACATATGCATTACCTTTTGGGTCTTCCACCTCTTCTGTAGCAATTTTTTTCTCTATTTGATTGCAAACAGTTAGGACAGCTATACATATAATCACAAAGCATGTTATGTAAGTGAGCTAAACAGCATGTGTCATGAACAGTACATGGCATTTGGAAAAAATTGTAAAAAATTAAATTTGATTGGAATTAGCTCAAACTTTCAACACAACTTAAGTACATAAAAATTATAAAAATGGATAATTCTCTCATAATTTTCCAGGGCTTTGGCCCAATGCAACTTGACAATCTACTGTCGGAAGCTGCATAAGTATTATGCCAAAATTTTATGGGAAACCCTGCAAATAATACATACCTTCGAGCATTTGACTTTTTCCAGTTTGAGGGGTCTCTTCTTCTTCTAGAGGATAATCTTCCTTCTCTATTGATTATGATACAAAACTGATATCATTTATTGATCATCATTACTTTCTGATAAATCCTGAAATAAGGACAACTGCTTATTCAACAATTCTATTCTTTCCTTAAGAGCCCTGATCTCCTATTAAATAATGGAATTTATTATAATAAACTGATAAGCAGGCTTACTCTACTGTCTTCTTTGTCTTGTTCTTCCCTGTACATTAACTGTATGCTTGTTGATATAAGCAACTGCTCCAACATTCCTCTACTAGTATACATTGCAGAGATGTACTCATCTGAAAATTATGATAAGACTATAACTATTATTTCAGTCCATACCTAAGGCCTCTCCTTCTTCAGGGTAACACAAACTCTAAATGTGAGCAGGTAAAAGCAATAAACAATGTAACTTTTATGCAACAAAACACAAATACCTGATCTTTGTAGTCATAAACAGTGCAATATCCAATGGTTAATTTCAATAATCCATTATCTTTTAATACTTTAAGATTCTTGAGGGCCGTTAGAATTAGACTTTCACTTAACATAACAGGAAAAGAGCAAAAAATGCTAAAAGAGTTGCCCTTTTTTATGACAGATACCCGGACATCTACAGATAAATCTTCAAGAGCCACGTCAATAAATTCCTCAATATCTTTAATTGTGCAATCTTCTACTCTTTTGTTAACAACAAAAACAGCTTTTTCTAACTGTAAAACTGATGACATTGAAAAAAGTTTGTCAAGGCACTGGTGAAGTGAAGTTTTTTCTTTAAAGTTTTGGTTGCGTATGTTATACTCCTGTATGATGGAAATTGCTTTCTTGATTTCGAAATGCTCCATTACTTGCTCTAAAGGTCTAATTTTTGTCAAAGAGCACCTTTCACCTATCCACTCTATAATTTCTGCAGTTGTTTTACACTCATTTATAGAAAGCTTTACAATAGGGTTCAAGCGAGCATAACAAATACGAAGATATTCTTTTAATTTTTCAACTTCAACGCCAATCCCAATAACCACATCAATGATTCGTACTAAAGTACTTGCAAGATCAGCTCGTCTTTCCTCAAATTCATCACTTTTATCAGATGAAACTGATATTTTAATAGATTTTGATTTCCTAGCTTTATATAACCATGAAAAAGTACAGAAGGTATACATATAACTTACTAACTCCTTCACTGTACATTGTGACATCACCATTGCCAAATACTCTCACTATAAATGGCAAAAATCAAAATAATAAATTAATTATGACTATAATAATGATACTTACCATAATCTTGCATAATAATATTTCCCATATTTCTTGTAGCAGGAGAATTGCACAAGAACTCTGCAAATTTCTGAAGATTCTTATGATTAAAGCAGATTTCCATTTTCAAAGCATGAAACTATCTGTACATTCAGACAGCTTGATTTGACTCATTTCTCGTACTAGTAATATAATATCAGAGAACTTCTTAGGGCAGGAATTTTTGATAAAATCCTCAGATATGTGACGAGTAAAGAGGACACAAGCTGCATGTTCTGATATGTAATAATCATTATAGTTAATAAGAAATAATATTTAATTACTTTCTTTGTCAATTCCATCAGCTGCTGCGACTTTGTTTAGAGATCGCAATGCTTTTATTAGTGCATGCCATGTTGGATTTGACACGTGATCAGCTTTATTCAACCACTTAACTGAGCATTCACGAAGACAACTGGCAGGATCTTTTTGGTATTTTGCTTCAATTTCACTTATAGTGGAATGTGATAAACCCAGATCAAGAAAAAAATTGAAGTAATCACCACTATTAAAATGGTGCTTCCTTAAAATTGCAAGCACTTTCGAAAGATCATCTATGGCTATATGGGTGCTAGCATAATAATAATACCATACATAATGGGAAATTACTTAAAA